GTCAGGAAGCGGAGGAAATTTCAAACATTGGGAACGGCGAATAATAAGTGATGCTTACAGTCACACTGAATTTTAGGAAATACATATGTGGTTGTCATCTACTTGCAAGTCCCAAACCCTATCGCTACCTAAATCTTTCCTGCTGATTTTTAATGATCTTGTAAATTCAAATAAATTTCAAAAAATGCTTGAAAATGCTCCTTCTTACACTCATTATTTAGAAGATTACGACTTCGCCTAACTCTGTGTTCGACAACACGTCCGCTCAAAGCATTCTCTTGCTTCAGACTTGCATTGCTCTTACTATCCTCACTTTCCTTGAACAATCGAGTGCTGAATCCTGACAGCGTTTTTAAATGAAATTTTCGATATTTGCTGCTCTCTTGATACTGTAAAGGTACGACCGGATAGAATTTCTTCACCCTACCTTAAATCGTTAAGACGTAAACAAGAACTCCTTTAGAAGCTAGACTTACGTGATAGCCTTAAGGACGTTACCGTCTTAATAAAAATAGAGACTGACAGACTAAATACCCTATTTGTCGGCCAACTTTTTTCGTCTTCTTCCTCTCTCCCTTTACCCCTTCCTCAGCTGAGATTTGAAAAAATCTTAAGCGTCTCACTGGCCATCGCAACACGCTGGTGCATGTGGATGCAGATTTAGACTCCCTAAATAAAAATTTTATATTTAGTCACAATGACTCCCATCTTCCTTTAGATGACATTCCCCTATCACCGTGTACATTCCAACCCGTGTCTTTGGCAACAGTAGAGAAACACCTTAAAAAGGTCCGTGGATCAACAGCTGCCGGACCGGATGGTGTCTCGCCTTTTCTTCTTAAATCTTGCAGTTCTCAGATAGACCCTATTTTAACGCACCTAATCAATATATCTTTCATGGAGTCAAAGATTCCCGACGCCTGGCATACAGTGAGAATCACTCCCATCCCTAAAAAGTCCGCTTACTTTGGTCCTAAATCTTTTCATCTAATTGCCTGCTCCTCTGGAATACTAAAGCTTGCTGAAAGAGTTTCCCTAAATATCATAAAACCTTTTTCTTCCAGTTTTTCCGACCCTTTACAATTTGCATACTAAGCCAAAAGAAGTATTTTAGATGCTGTCGCTCTTGTGGTCCACTCTGCTCTAAAAGCACTAGACAAGTGTTGCCGCGAGTATGCGTGCGCGTTTCTTGATTACTCCTCCGCCTTCAATACCGTCTCGCGCCCTCTTCTCCTTACCAAAACCTCCGCGTGCGGCTCTCCAGGCTGGGTCGACTCTTGGCTTAACGATTATTTTACCTTCCACATTCAATTTGTCCAATTTGACAAACGAAAATCTTCGATCCTTCCCAATGACTGCGGTGTTCTTCAAGGTTCCATTTTATCCCCTCACCTTTTCTCATTCCACACTGAAGATTTAAGGTCCCCTAATGACTGTCTTTTGGTCAAGTATGCTGATGATGTGGTTATTGGACACCCTCTCAAAAGTCAGACACACCTCCGATCTCTAAAGGATGGCGTGAAGCATGTCCTAGCGTTGTCGGAGGAAAATGGTCTCCTAACTAACAACCAAAAATCCGTTCAGTGTATTTTTCGACTGCGGCCCTCTCCTAGTCCTGAATCCTCTGACATTCTTCCTATCGAAGTATCCTCTTTCAGTTACCTCGGCGTTACTTTGTTCTCAAATCTTTCATTTTCCCTCCATATTGAGTTCCTATTTATTAACGTTCGTATACTTCTTTACTACATACGTCGTTTACGTTCCTGCCACACACCTCAACCCCTAGTCTGGCGATTCATCGATGCCTGCATTCTTCCACTTATCCTATACTGGTCTCCTGTCATTTTTCATTTTTTTAAATTTTGAAACGAGTCCTTCGTATACTCTCTTCTGCTGCTGGTGTTTCTTACCTTTTTAAATTTACACTATCTTACAACGACACTTCAATGTGGTCAACCAATTTTCTGGTCGAATTCTAGATGACGTTGCCCATCTCCTACATTCTGATCTTATGTCTGCGAAGTCTTTGCGCCCGATGCGCCGCAGCTGCCGACTTATATCCTGTCGCACATCGGCTTATCGAGCTTCTGTATTGCCATTCCTTGCGCGCTATCTTACGTTCGAAGAGATGGAAATACAAAAGCTAAGACGTGAACTATCCCCATAATAATCCTTTCTCTAAGTAAAAACTTTGGCTCTTGAATAATCTATTAACTTATTTACTGCCCATAGTGAATGGAGGCAATTTTTTGCTGAAAATTTTGAAATTACGATTTCAAAATAAAGCGACTCTCTCTCCCTCTCTCTCTCAAAAGAGAAATTATTTTCTGGTTTCGAAAAGGTTTTCAATTATGGCATGTTCATCGGTACTACTTATACTTTATACAGCCTGGGTCTATATCCACTGCACTATTTTGTGAGTTATATCCTGGGTTCTTCGAGTGGCGTAAAAAAATACGCGCTTTTCCTCTGATGGAATACACGCAACACGTGGCTTCGAAACCGTGGATGCAAGTATAATGGCAGATGGAATTAGAAAAATATCCCGGAATCGAAGAAGGTCTTGAAAACCGAAAGCTACGTTTTTATCAGGCAGAAATTGGGAAGAAGACGTAAGTTGTTATCGAATGAATACAAGAGAGTATATTTTTATGACGCTTTCTATAAAATATATTTGAATTTACAAATGCATATCCTTGGATTTCGATGCATGATAAATAATATAGCAACCCCACTTAGGTAATAATTCCTAATCGAAAAGATATTTCAGATTTTCAGCTAAAATTTTCTCGGAAGCCATCAGCCGCCTCCACTAGGTATTACGCCAGTAGCCAGCGCTTGTGACGAATTTACGACAATTAATGTCTGGGATGGGGGCGGTCACGGAATCGCCATGACAAACTGTCGAACTCGAGCGTACGCCTGGACATGTATGGCTGAGCCAATCGATGAAGACCAAAATATCGATCGGAATCAGGACGTTGGCAAGCCTCAGGCGCAAGCAATCAGCTTTCGAGAGGCATCCGATTGCTGTTGTCGCGCGGAGCAGTCCACAACACATTTTCAAGCAGTCAGGTAGAATACTCCAACTGTGCGGATTTTTAAGCGAACTGTAGAACCGAGCAGTATTTGGCCGAGTGGGCTCGGTCACGTTCCTTCCAGCAATCGTTACCCACGGTTACACGGTTATTCGGATTGGGACGTACTCCAAATGCCAAGGCGTATATATAAGATATTTCCGTCGTAGCAAGATGACGACATTCGAATGCATTTCTTTTTGTTCGCCTGCAAAAGTTGCACTCCACAAAAATGATAACTTAATTAGCATGGACTCTTTCATTGATAATCGAAGTCCTTACAAAATAAAATATGTTTTACAGAAAGAATTAACATAAGTATTCTTGCCTGTGCCCCGCGTTTAAAAAAGAATATGTTCTCTAAATTGCATGCATTAAGAAATGACTTTTTCCGGTTAGGAAGTTTGAGTTTTTTTAAAACTCCAAGCTGTCTGTTCAATGAGCATCGCATCTACACTTACATTAGCGTCCCTTATGAAGTATACAACAAAGTTCCACATCATCGAATAGCTTTTTAAATCTATAAAATATCTGTTAAATGACATGCATGAATTAATTGTTTTAATTAAAGGGGAAGTATAAGACTCGTAGACTGTACACTTTAGGCGCAATTGAAACAGCAGATTTGGCTCAAAATTATTTCCAACAAAATCTTTCGAAAAGCCTAAATAATCCTGTTCATCGAGTGGGTGATACGGGGGAGGACGCGACATTCAACCGAATGAATACAAATGAGAGCATTTTGAGCATGTTTTTAATAAATGCATCTGCATTTAAAAGGACGTGGAAAATTGATGAAAAAGTTCATGCTAGTTAATTTTTAATCTTTTAACGAGCGCAGTTTTTATAGGCAGCCGAAAAACAGTGCATTTAAAAGCCGCCATTTTGGAGTGCCAGAAATATCTTGGGATTATTTTGCACGACAATAAGTGTGACAACCTCATTTAAATAATTCATCAGAATGGAAAGCGAGTTTAGGAATTGAGAGAAGCTTTTTACGCGGACTCTGCCTACTTGCAGCCAACTTCATATACCTATGCAAGTAAATACGGCCTGCGTGTTTGAATATCCTTAAGGTCGGATGGCGATTGACATCTTCACGTCAAAAAGCGCAGAGCCATAGGTAGCGCCAATCTGAACATCGTGGTATGTCATTCCATACGAATAGCGCTTTCAGGTAGCCATAACGATCCAAATTGGAAATGAGCATTGATTTGGGGTGTATGCATTTTTATAGGAATGATGAAAAGCCAACTTTCCCCCTTCCCGGGATTTTCTGCTTGAAAAGAACAGAATGTTTCTGTTTGCGCTTAAAGTGCATTTTAATTTTTGGAGAATCGCAGTCGAATGTTCATGTTTTTTATCAGTCTCTCTCATGAAGCACGTCAGTTGTTTTTTTCTCATACGTTTCTTAAAAAATGACGAAAAACCGACTTCCTAAAGCACGCGCTCTCGGAATTTTCGACATGAAAACGGATGATATTTGCGTTAGGGTGCTAACTCTAATCTTCTTCTCGAAGAAATTTGGCACAGATTTTATAATGTTGGTTAATCTCTCTCAGGGATTACGCTGATTGTTTCGCTTCAAGGTTTATGAGGTTCTGTCGTAAATCGTAATGTTCTCACGAACTAACGAGTTATATCTCACGAGCCCCTAGCCTTAAATGCAGCAAGTAAATCGGAGCAGCGAATAATATAGAGATTTTTGAACGTTAAGGAAAACTGACAACAGAATACCACAGCAGAGCACGCTAGCAAGGCGGGTTGTACAGGTGTGCCGTTTCTCGTCACATTCAAACATGCAATGCGGTCAAAGGAAATGGGACTAAATTGTCAAAGGTAAATTAGTCAGGTACCTCACCACAGTACCCCCCTTCTAGACCGGAGGGCGACGGGATACGGCGCCGGAGGATATGCACAAGTCTAGAAAAAATGGGTAACTAAACGATCGGGAAAATGAACGTGACGGCCACTGCGAGTTATGTATGCAGGAGGTACAGTCGAAGAGGGTTGACTGCGTGCTGTGGTGGACGATGGTGCTGCAGTTGGATGCTGTTGACATGTAGGGAGAGGAAGTATGCGGGACGGAGGGGTGGAGGGCAAGGGAGGGGAAGGGCAAGGCAGTGGGCAGGGTGAACGAGTAGGGGATAGGGAAGATGAAGGAACAGGGGTTAGGGGGTCAGCACATGTTTGTCCTTGTGACAGGTCCGGCGGCTCCTCCGCAACAGCAGCCTTGACCCGATCGACACTGACCACGTCCTCCTTGTCACTGCGAAGAATCCGGAAGGTCTTGGTGTTGCGCGCGAGCACGCGGAACGGTCCTTCATATGGTGATTCCAGCGGCTGGCGCACACGGTCACACCGGACGAACACATAAGTACACTTGTCCAAGTCTTTTTCGACATAAGACTCAGTCATTGGAGCTCTAGGTGGAACCGGGGAAAGCGAGCGCATAACTTGCCGCAAACGGTGCACAAGATTGTCAGGAGTCTCTTCGGCTCCACGAGAGGTTGGGGTGATCATCTCGCCTGGCAGTCGGAGGGTAGTGCCGAAAACCAATTCAGCTGCGCTACAGCCCAGATCCGACTTCAGAGCTGCGAGGATGCCGAGGAGTGCAAGAGGAAGGTTGTCCGACCAGTTTCCTGGGTCTTCTACGGCACGCAGGGCGGTCTTTAGCTGGCGATGGAAACGTTCCACCATACCGTTGGCAGCGGGGTGGTAGGCTGTCGTCCGAATGCGTGTGCAGCCAAGGAAATTGAGTAGCGCTTGGAAGAATGCCGACTCAAACTGGGCACCACGATCAGTCGTAACCGTGGATGGGGCACCGAACATGGCGACCCAACGACTGACGAAGGCCTTCACGATGGTTTCAGCCTGAACATTCGGCAAAGGAATAGCTTCAGCCCAGCGAGTATATCGATCGGCACAGGTAAGGAGGTAGGTGAAACCATTGGATGGAGGCAAGGGGCCTACAACATCCAGGTGCACATGGCTGAACCGTGCGTCGGGACTGGGGAAAATGCCTGGTGGGGACTTGTTGTGACGCTGCACCTTGTTGCGCTGGCAGCTCAGACACGACCGAGCCCAAGCGTTGACGTCCTTGTTCATGCCAGGCCAGACAAACCTTTCCGCGAGGAGCTTTTGAGAGGCTCGGATCCCAGGGTGGGAGAGTCCATGTATAGTTTGAAATACAGCTCGACGCATCGAGGCGGGCACAAAAGGGCGATGAAAGGGAGTTGAGACGTCACAAAGTATGGTACCAGAGCCGGTGGTCAGAGGAACGTCTTTGAGTTGGAGACCACTAACAGACTCGTCGCCAGGACAACCGACTCGCTGCTGCTCAGCCGCCATGGCACAAAGATCGATCCCGTGTGAGAGTTGGAGGGAAGACAGTGAGGGTCTGGACAGCATATCAGCCACCTCATTCTTCGGGCCATCAATGTGGCGGATGTCGGTGGTGAATTGCGAGATGTAATCCAAATGAGAAATCTCTCTCGGGCTATATTTGTCAGAATGGGATCGGATGGCAAATGTAAGTGGTTTGTGGTCTGTGAAAATGGTGAAGTCACGACCCTCAAGGAAGTGTCGGAAATGTTTTACGGCTAGGTGAACGGCAAGAAGTTCACGGCCAAACGTGCTATATCTCGTCTCGGCAGGTGAAAGCTTCTTGGAGAAGAATGCCAACGGTCGTGTCGAGTTGTTGATATGCTGTTGGAGGACTGCTCCTACGGCAACGGTCGAAGCATCAACCATCAGGGACAATGGGGCTTCTGGAGCAGGATGAGTGAGCAAGGTAGCATCAGCAAGGGAGTTCAGTTCAGTTCAGTTCAGTTTATTTGAGGGAAATATAGGTGTTAAACCTTTGAACTCCCTATTTGTTACAAGGAGGCGAACAATAAAAAAAAATTGAAAATTGAAACATCAAACGGCTACAGAGTTTCTTCAGATTGGTCTTTATTCTCTCAAATGCAGTCAGCGCGTGGCCACGTAACTCAAGGGGACCCTAGGGACCAGAGAGCAAGTCGGTGAGTGGCAGCATAAGGTCGGCACAGTCCGGTAGGAACCGGCGATAAAAGTTTACCATGCCAAGGAGACGTTGCAGCTGACGCTTGGAGGTTGGTGGAGGAAAGTCACGAATGGCCTCAACCTTGGAAGAGAGGGGACGCAAACCTTGTGCATCGATATGGTGACCAAGAAAATCAAGGGGCGGCACACCCAGAACACACTTGGAAGGGTTAATGACCACGCCAAACTGATCGAGGCGGTCAAACACTAAGGCAAGATGCTCTTTGTGTTCCTCGGCATTTCGACTGGCCACCAAGAGGTCATCGATGTAGGCGTACACAAACGGGAGACCACGTAGGACTCGATCAATGAACCTCTGAAATGTTTGGGCAGCATTGCGAAGACCAAATGGCATGCGAATAAATTCGAACAGGCCGAATGGTGTGGTGACGGCAGTTTTGGGAACATCCTCAGGAGCGACAGGAATCTGATGGAAGGACCGAACAAGGTCAATCTTCGAGAAAACCGATTTGCCGAAAAGAGCTCCAGCAAAATCTTGAAGATGAGGGACGGGATAACGATCCGGGATGGTCGCATTGTTGAGGGCGCGATAGTCACCACAGGGCCGTCAGTCGCCTGATGTTGCCTTGGGCACCATGTGCAGTGGGGACGCCCAAGGGCTCTCGGACGGTCGAATTATTCCCAGTTGCAGCATGTGTTCAAACTCCACCTTCGCGGCCTGAGAACGCTCCGGTGCTAGTCGTCTCGGTCGAGCAAACACGGGAGGACCTGAGGTGCGGATATGGTACACAACATCATGTTTAACTTCACCACTGCGAAACTGGGCGTTAATTATGTTGGGGTGACTAAGCAGCAGTTGCCGAAAAGGACTAGCAATATCTGTATCCAGGACAGATAAGTTGGTGGGGGCAGTAAATGGAGTTAGTCCACGGACGAACAGACCGGTTGTGCGGTCGAGGAGACGGGCACGTCGACAGTCAACAAGGAGATCGAACTCGGCAAGGAAGTCCGAGCCGAGGATTGCATGAGGGACATCAGCAATCACAAAGATCCAAGTAAATGACCGACGAAGGCCAATGTTCAGGGCGAGGGACAGACTGCCAAAAGTGGGAATTGGGGAACAGTTAGCAGCTTGAAGATGAAGACCAGGACTAGGGAAACGACGATCAGCTGCATTTGGGGGAACAACACTGATTTCAGCTCCAGTGTCCACCAGAAAACGTCTGCGAGTCGCAGTGTCGCAAACATAGAAGGTGCGACCAGAGCCGGAGGAGCTAGAGAAAATGGTCGCATCTATTCTCTGGCTGACTGGTTTCCCTGTTTTGGCTTAAAAGAGCAAGGTGAGGAGCAGCGACGGGCCTTTACGCCGAAATTAGTGTGGTACCAGCAAATATTAGCAGTCCGAGGTCGCGATCGAGAACGACGACGACTGCTTGAGCGACTGGAAGTGAGCGGGCGAGCTGTATTTTAAGAGAGGCCATCTCATCTGCCATGGCCGTAACCTGTTTTAGTAAATGCTCATTCACTGACGATGAGGATGAGATCTGGACAACGGAAGGTGACTGGAATCGTTGCACCTCTATCATTCGATCCGCCATCTCAGCCAACTGTGACACTGTGAGATCCTGAGAGCCGGACGCCAGGATCGTTTGAACATCTGTGGGCAGGCGCTCCAGGAACATCTCCTTGACAAATTTATCATCAACTTGCATGTCTCCAAGGAGACAACGCATCCGACGTAGAAGCTCTGAGGGCTTCCGGTCACCCAGTGACTCCTCCTTAATTAACTGGTGATACCTCTGTCGGTCAGACACAGAATTAAGTCGGAGGATTTCTGCCTTTAACGCGGAGTAGGGAGCATCTGCAGGAGGATTAGCTAGCAAGGACTGAACTTGAGAGATGACACTAGCGGGGATGACCTCCACGAGTTTGCGGTATTTTGCTAGCTCCTTGGTAACGTTGGCAGAATAAAAGGCTGATTCTATGCGGATGAAGTAAAGTTCTGGAGCGTGTTGCCAGAATTCAGGCAAAGTAAAATTAATTGCATGAAGGGACTGGGCGGGGGCATGAAGTTGTTGATCGGAGTGAGACATAATAAGACAGAGATGTCAAAATAGCAGAATTCGTGAGGAAAGTAAATGTAAATTGAATAGATATTCACAAGCAAATAGTACGTTAAATGTTATCCAGTATGACAGAAAGCTATAAAGTCTGCGTAAACGTCGGGAGTCACCAATGTCGTAAATCGTAATGTTCTCACGAACTAACGAGTTATATCTCACGAGCCCCTAGCCTTAAATGCAGCAAGTAAATCGGAGCAGCGAATAATATAGAGATTTTTGAACGTTAAGGAAAACTGACAACAGAATACCACAGCAGAGCACGCTAGCAAGGCGGGTTGTACAGGTGTGCCGTTTCTCGTCACATTCAAACAAGCAATGCGGTCAAAGGAAATGGGACTAAATTGTCAAAGGTAAATTAGTCAGGTACCTCACCACAGTTCAACCTTCCCCTTTCCGTGGCTGCATGCAAAGAATTATGGGGGTACTGTCATTAGAGAAAATTAGCATCACGTTGATTTTTAAACCACGAGAACACATGCAAATGCAAGTTAGTGCTTGCATGCCAGAAACATTACCGAAATTTTTCAGAAATATGGCCATTTTTGTTTCCTAACACTAAGACTAGAGAAACTATAAGTAGTTTGAAAAATAAAACATGAACGTCAAACTATACGTTTTCGTGTAAGCACCAAATCAATAAAAAAAACATACTACTGAAGTCGTGACTTTCGCCAAAGGCACAGTTTTATCTGACCTGTAAGACAATCAGGGAGGGGGAGGGGAAGGTCCAGTATGCTACAGTGTTCAAACAAGCGTGGCATTATGATCCCTGTCCAACCTGACTTGCGCAGCACCTTTGTCTCCAGTTTACGCCATATGTAAGAATCTGGAGCGATATTCCAGGAGTTTCAGCACAGAAGAGGATATGTGATATCATTGTCAGACACACAAGGCGGTGGGCCCGGAGACTCTGCTGCACTAGCAGTACGCATGAGACTCGAATGTGCTGCCGACTCTAGTCATTTGGAGGGCCGACAATGAGAGCAGGGCACATAGAGCCCGGCTCTAGCAGTTTTCATTTGTACATGCATTTAATATCCGAAATTTTTCCGACTTGATGGAAGAGCCTGACGGTTAACCGAGGGAGTGGGGCTGGGAGTTGACCGAATGGCACGCGCGAGTCTGCGGCACGAAAGAGTGGATCGATGGGTATACATGAGTAAGAGGCCCTTTAAGGGGGTGAAGGTGACGTCACAACGCACTGTTTCTTGTTGTGCGAAGACGGTTTATCAAAGACATTGTATCTTTTTAATGAAATTGTTGTTGAGCGCAGTGGAATCATAAAAAATAACCACGGACGATAATGAATCTAGTCAAAGTGTCGCTAACAGTTTCGTGCACTTGAGGACTCCCACGTAAGACTTTGTAATTGTTCTGAAAAAAGTTGTCCTTTTCTGAATGAAGGTTTACGCGAACCCATCGGGACCTACAGCAGCCGAAAAAACGACAGGCAACACAATAACTCATGAAACATTTTGCATATCTGTTGGTGACTTTGACACAAATAGTTCCATTTCGAACATTTTAAACCATTTTGCAAGCACGGTCTTTCAGTAGGCATGCTGTCTGCAATTTTCTTGCATTTCTTCAACGACTTGATTGACTACGTCAAAAGGTATCCTCGTTTTTAAATAGTCTGAGTGTAATTATTTAAGCATGCACCTATTTTTGATGGCAGTCTCCTTAAATATTAGTGAGGTCAAATGGCCAGTAAGTGTGGAGAACCTACAGCGTTCTCTTAGTGAACAGCCCTAGGCGGGAACCAGGCGATGACCCAGAATAGCCCAATGCCGATGGTGATGTTGATGATGATGTGGACCAGGGTAACCTTACCAGTTGAGAATTCCTGAGGCGAACGCACCGCACTAAATAATAAAGAAAAACAGAAATATCCGAGGGTTACGCTCATAGCTAGTTGAATTAAGCAAAAAATCACAAGTCTATAACGTCAGTTTTTATGCTACGACTGTCAGCCGAAGGCACCACACCTTACTGTTGTAATGGACTAACTTAAAAAGCTCAGAAAAGAACAGTTAAGACCAGACAAGAGCGTTACTGGACCTCACCAACCGATGAAAATGGCCTAGTACCTGAGTTTAGTTTGCCACGCACTTCATGGGTTTCCACTCGAAACGTAGTCATAGAGGGCGATTCAGTCACCCCCGGAGAGTACGAGAAACCCATCTCATCACCGGACCTGTGCCAGATCCATAACACTTATGTAGAATTTGAGGCAAGCATAGACAACAGAATTTATTGGAACCAGTAAGTTTTGCGACGGCTTATCAACTGCAGCCTGCCGTTGCATGACAGAGAAAACAAATGAGAAAGATACAGAGGTTTGAACTTCCACAGATAGAATCAAAATAAAACAACAAGATCATCGTATACTGCACGCAGATTAATCAATAAAATGGTAACTTGAAAACGAAACTTAGGAAAGAAAACGGGGAAGTAAACACGCTGAGGGTTTGCGCAAATCGAAGGGCTAAGTTTTACCAGGGCAAGCTGTGGTTGACCACGTGGTCTAACTCTTATCATTGATCGCGCATCTGCCGCCGAATGTAGGCAGCCTCCAAGTAGTACAGTATCCGAGTTGTTCGTGCCCGAACTAATAGTCGAAAAGATGTTCTGGATCAACCGAATGACCGTTATCTAGGAGGTGTTTCGTGATAGAAGGCCATGGGATTTTATTATCCAGCTTTAGAAGTAGCTTCATTTATTTTCTCTGTTTTGCAACGACAGGCTGCAGTTGATAAGCCGTCGCGAAACTTACTTTTTCCATGTACAGAATTTATTGGGGCCAATAAATTTCGTGACGGCTTTTCAACTGCAACCCGTCTCTGCATAACATAGGTAACGAATGAAAGCGCACAGCAGAATGAATTTGTACAGAATGGCAGTGCATAGGAGCAAGGTCAAAGTTCAAAATAATCAATAATCAGATAAGACGTCCAATCTGCAATTGCCCTGGTAATCTCACGCCTCTATTTTCCCCTGACTGTGATTTGTTGTTAACATTTCGTCTTCCTTTTTCCTTTTTGATGCTTATGTGGACGTCTTATCTGATTATTGATTATTTTGAACTTTGACCTTGCTCCTATGCACTGTCATTCTGTACAAATTCATTCTGCTGTGCGCTTTCATTCGTTACCTATGTTATGCAGAGACGGGTTGAAGTTGAAAAGCCGTCACGAAATTTATTGGCCCCAATAAATTCTGTAAATGCTTGTCTTCACTTCATACCGGAAAAAAGTGCTTCAAATTACTGGTTCCAATAAATTCCGCTGTCTATACTTGCTTTAAATCCATCCGGGTGAAATACTGTTCCAACTTTTGAGAAATACCCATTCCAAGAAAATGACAGGCTGTGTGAACTCACACATGGTGGGTATCACAGAACTGTTCAGCACTGAGTCCGTTCTGGACCAAACGCTCTAAATTAGTTAGCATTAAAGACTCTGAGAAAGCTGACGAAGCGATCGTGAAGTGAACAGATGTAGTATTCGATATCTGCGATCTCACAGTCCCCGTTCCTCCTGTCCCAACTCTCAGAACTGATTATCGCAATTCGCATGTTTTAGTTTTGATCGCCTAGCTATGCCCCACATTATAACGGCCAGATGGTACAAGGTTTCCTAAACTACCACATGTTCACAGCTCAGAAGCCATGATGCGGCCGTTAAAGCGCGAGCCTGGTAGTTCGAATGAAAGTTTTACATTCGCAGTTGGGTAAGGATCGGGAGAAGGACCCCAATCAATTTGTGGCATACAAGGAGAACCTTCTATACTTTTAAAAGTGAGTTTTAGTCCGTAACGATTATTCCGGTTTGGTGCTTCATTGTCCAAATATGGGTCGTCTGTTGTAGAAGGTCTGGTGCATAATCTACAATGACCTCATCTCTGAGAGTTGAGAAGCGATCGTTGTAGAAACTTAACGTTGGCAGAATGATATTACCGACAAAGACAAGGGCGGCTGGAATGGCCATTTCTGGCTTATTAGCCGTCGTCAGCCAGCCATACCCAAGCCCGAAGTCTGGAACACCCGAGCCTCGAACTCGCGACTTGTTGGTTTAGAAGTCCACGCCTCTACCCACCGGGCCACGAGCCCGTTGCCCTGTCGGTTTTCGATCGGGAATATACAGTGGTAGGGGGCGTTCACCGATCGTTCATACGGAACTCACTCGTTCCGTTGTGCCTTAAGGGCTCTCCCTCGAGCCCAACCAGCAGCCGCACAGCGGCGCATGATACATAGGCAGAATAGTATTACCGACAAAGACGTAACGTTTTTTTAATCTTCCTGCTTAATTTCGGTTGCTATATGTCAATACTATAGGACCTTCCTACCCGAAAAACGTATTTACTTTTTATCTATACCTATTCTGCCATTCCTATATGCATACATAAGTCCCACCCGTAAAACCCCTAGTGCCACCTTCTTCGTAATACAGGCACCTTTGGCTGGTCGTGTATGTTTTGAGTCCCTCACCCGATCGTTGCCCGCAGAGTTGTTCAATACCTTATTGAACCAGTCTTCAAACTTCCCGGCCCTGGTGATAGCAAACAGTCGAAAAACGGCTCTTTCTACCTTCGACGACGCTGTCGAGCACGTTTCCCAACCCGCAGGGTTGATTGCAATATGGTAAAGATGACAAAAGCACGTCCACTGAGTTACCATAGTCATACGGTGGAGCAGAAAACGGTCTGTGCTGCTCTCAATGTTTCGTTTCCAGTCTCTGGGTGAAGTCGCACCGCGTGCTTATCTCTGCAGCCAAAGGAACCGGACTTAAGGATTACTGTGTCTCAAAAGTGTGTGGGTCTCCAGGAAATTCCACAATCCGGAAACTTATGGGTATACTGTGGCATACCAACGATGGACTATGGGTCCCGAATACCACTATTATGCTTCACGATGGTTCAATCACCGTTCACGACGAGATCTATCAACCTGGAAAAGATCAAAATCAATG